GATAGAGCGAGACTCAGTCTCAAAATAAATAAACAAATAAATGGAAAAACAATCTGCATGTTACCCCAGGATAATCCTCATTCCTCAGGCTGTGAGAAATTCATTTCTGACCTTCGTGGCATTTTATGGCATGACATTTTGTAAGACTAATGGGAGTCACACAGAGGATTTAACCTCACTCAGCACAGCTTACAGAGAGAGAGAGTGAAATTGCTAAGTCACTCAGTTGATCTCTGCTCTCATGTCATAGACCTTCAGTGAATGGCCATTTGAAACTTCTAGAGTTAGGTCCACATTTCAAGTATGGGAGCCACTGTTTTTCCTCTCCATGGTGGCTTCCCACAGAATCAGGGCATTTGCTTTCTTCCTAGGAAGACTTAAGACCTTTACTGTGATGCCACTTAATATGCTCTGTGAGTTTGGGTCCACCTGAAGAGAGAAGTGTGGAGCTAGATGAGAATCTTACTCTTAACTAAGAGGAAGAAAACAAGCATCCCATGTTTACCTTGGCGATGAGAGCACGGAGTGTTGCAAAGCAGTGAGTCAGGTAGGTGGTACTCTGATCACAGTTCAGAGAATTCACCAGCACCCTCAGAACACCTCCCAGCAGGCTGTCTTTACAGTCCAGAGCCGAGCTCGCCTGGGGGAATGGAAGAACAGCATTATTGAATGCCTGCACTGTGCCAATGAACTGGATGTTCCTGACAATTAGCTCAGTAATGCTGATGTTCCATCTCCAGTGGTGAGTCTTAAGAGTTTGGTGAGCCACCATGGGTATCATCCATTAACCATGGGAACTGAAGACCTATTTCCAAACGGCTTTATTTCAATGCTTCCAATAAGTTTGGGATTTCTAACTAATTTTGGGTTCCTAAATGAAGGTATGAGGCCCATCTCCCTCATCCTGGGTCACGTCTTTTGGAAAGTTCTTTCTTTGTGTACAAGACATAGCTTTCCTTATGGAATTCAAAACATAATTGTGGGCTTCCCAGTACAACAGGGGCTGCTTGGCGGCAGCAAGGTTTCTAAATAGAAGCTTGCTTATCCGCTACAGAATGACTAACAACACCAATATAATCGAGGGCTAGTATAGATATTTGGCACCTAATACTGTGCTATATAAAGATACGCTGAATGTGATACCAAGCATTTAAGTTATCAAAGATATCAAAGTCAACTAAAATATCACATACTTTTTGTGTTTATTTTTTATATGATTACTTAGATTTTAGATAATTTAAAAGTTAGAGAATTAAGATTTCACTGTGTTTCAACAATATTTCTTCTAGCCCTAAAAGCAATCCTGGACCTACTCTAATGAAGGGCTTCTCAATGGAAACACGTAAGAAGTCATTTTTCAGGGTAATTAAAAACTCATTACTACCTAGATATCTTGGGAATTTGTGGAAATATCACATAGAAGATAAAATTAATATGGTACAAAGTTCACAAAGCTATAGGGATGGCAAATTCAGGGTACAAATGACTTTCCTTAACCAATTTAAGTCCAAAGAAGATATCATTTATCAAATTTAGCACTCTTTTTACCTAGCCTAGTCATAATCATAGCTCCCATATCAGACAGTGACCATCATTCAACTGGAGTTGACCCATCAGAAAAAATCCTAGTTACCACTACTGTTCTAGATACTAAACTATAAGCCCAACATCCACATTATAAACTTGGTACATACTCACACAGATTTAACCAAGAGGGTCAGTTTGTCAAACACCTAACCCTCTCCAAGTAAGCCCTAAGTCAAAGAAGCCAGAAGAATGTTGAGTATCTCTGAAATTTATAAGGTAGACACTATTGCAAATAGTAAATT